GGGGGGGGGAGGAGGAAATTGCAGGGTTTGATTTAGAGAGAAACAAGGCCAAAAAAAGAAAAGAGGGAAAAAACAAATGCCAGCCTTAAAAAACCCACTCAATAGAGTGAAGAAAACAAAAAACCAAAGAACAATGATTAAATGATTTTTACACATAAGCAAGAGCACCAATGCATTCAACGAAATTAATAATCTAGCTCATTCTGATTAGTCAGGTAGTACTCACAAACACATGCAAACACGATACAATCTTTGCTAAGGAACTGCAACAGCAGCAAGATCCTGGTTGTAGACAAATATGCATAAGTTACCTATCATTTCCTGTTTTTGGTTGGTGATACTAGGCAATTCCTTACTATCCAACTACCTTATCTCATTAGCCAAGTAGGATAAATTAATGTAATCATAAATGATAAAAAGTGATCTGGAGTGCTTTTGGATTCTGAATTAAACCAACTCAATGAGCTCTCCAGCATACTCTTGAAGTAATTGCTTTTATAATTTACCCCAATATAAAAAAAAAAAAAAAAAAAACCAGATTGACCTCTTTAGAGTAAAAAAGCACTTCAATAATTTATCCAGAGTCCAGGGCACATCAACCAGAAGCTGTAAGTGCTACAATGTACTGGAAAAAATGCTCCATATGCATGAACATTAACTTACCCCATGAACCTTTACGAGAAGGCAAAGCGTGTCTCTGTTAACTTTGCTGCTCACTGCTCTGATTAGACAGACAAAAATAACATGTAAAGAAAAGGGAAATGCAGTTAGAAAAGTTCAATTTCTTGGTCAAAATGAAGTCAAACAGATAGCAATAGATTGCAAAACAAAAAGGTAGAAATTTGCCTGTCTAATTCAACAAATTAAAGTTACAATTCTATGTCTTAGAAGCAACTGGGGAGAGAGAGAGAACCTTAAGAAGGATACATAATATAGGGCTAGATCTCCTGCATCAAAGTTGTATTGGTGCGCTATGATGCTGTTTATATAGCCATTGCTCAAACAATAGTCTGCATTACCAAAACTGTGTGAGCCCAGTCAAGAGGAAAAAAGACATTTGATAGACAAGAAAAAAAAAAAAATAGAACCAAGAAGTTCAAAGACATTAATTAATATATGCCAAGCGTAAAGAAATCTTTTTCAACATGACCACAGTTACAACCTTTTCAGCCAAAGACCAAGCATCTGTGTCCATTAGTCCATACATGTGAATATAAAGAGAGAGAGAAAAGCTAAACAAACATACAACAAATTTAATATATATATATATGGCACTAGGGATCTTACAAATTGCTTGTTCACTGTCCAAGTTTTGAATCATTATGCTTAGGTACTGAAGTAAAGATGCCTCAATTCTTGAATTGCCACTGATCTTTAGCAAACGAACAAACTCTGCTAAAACTTGGTGTTCCATAAAACACCTGCAATGATAGGAAAAAACTCAGTACTCATCACGAAGATACTAAGATGTATAACCACATAAGATGTTGCATCTTAAGCAATGCATACTCAAAGATTAAAGGATCCTGTCTGTCACCATATGTAACTATCTCTACTATAGACTGCAGTAGGTCTATGACTGATTCCTGGAGAAGGAAAACGAGAAAAGACCAATTAGTTGGAAAAGAAAACCTTGATGGATTAATCTTTATATTCAATAAACCTATGTAAAGGTCAACTGAATTACCCTGTTATATACATCGACAACTTTGATCTGCCGCACTTCAGCAAGTACATGTCTACAATCAGAGAAAAAACTAAATATTTAAAGAAGGAAGAAGAGGATCTTCATGAGAATAATAACAATAAAAATGTAAGAAATGAGTGATGCAAATGATGAAGACAAGATAAAGCAGCGAGAAAAGCCATGTCAACTTCTCCTTGGATAAATGAATATTCAGCTGTTTGCAACTTGACATCAAATAACAAAAGAAACAAAACATCTTCAGCATCTCATAAGATAAGGTTTGGATGGTACTAATTACAGACTCTGGTTTTGGACAGATCCTTAGCTCAGGCATAGTTTTCAAACAACTAGAAAAAAGAATAGCAATTTGCTCTTGTGGGCAAACATCAGTATTCTATGGCAATTTCTATCTTCGTGCAAAACTAACAGAAGCCATTGACATTCACTTGAGGCTTCTTGCAAGAGCTTAACACCATTTTATATCTTTGTATCAATAAGTACAGATTCAAACTTGATAATAGATCCATGAAATCGATGACTGGCATCCACTTGAGGCTTCTTGCAAGAGCTTAACACCATGAACAACCAAGTTTAAACTTTATATGCATTCTACTAAATAATTTCAACGAAGCAAAATCGATTAATATTTATTCCTC